GCATTAGCAGGGAGCTGGTTCAGAAGTGAAGCAGCCAGGATTCAAATCAGCAGTGCTTATATGGGATGCTGGCATCACAGGAAGTGGCTTAACCTGCACATGACCATGCTGGCCCTGGTTGACTGTTCATAACTGACGCATGTGCACACATACACATACACACACATACTTACTTGTAGAAAAATCACTAAAAGTGCTAAAAGTGACCAAGATGGCATAGATCAGGCACAGAGCATATTACTCAAAGTTACAGTGGGCGCAGCAGCATGGGGCCCTTGGGGGCTCCACCTCATTGCTGCTAAGGGATGTGGAATGTCCCGTTGGTGACTGTGCAGCTAGCGGATCACACTGCCCAAGAGACACTCAGGGCTAAGGGCTCTGCAGTTTCTGTAGCAGGCAGTAAACAAGTGGCCTCCTTGACCTCCTTAATTACCCTGGGGCCAGAAATGGCTGTGGGACCAAGGACATTGTGGGCTTTTGGATTTGACCTAGTGGGCAAGGAGGAGCAGGGATGCTCAGGATGGACTCCACCTCTCTCCTCGCTCACTGTGCCTGCCCCTGACTTGTTCAAGGATGGACGTGGTGGGCCCGCTGGACAGTGAGCTCCCTGTTGCTGGCGGTGCTCAGGCTTGCTGGAGGTGCTGTCTGCAGCCTGTCAGGGTCTGTGGACTAGAATGCAGCAGTTCCAACTTAAGTCCGTGTCATTATGTCCTGGGGATATCCCTGCAGGTGGACCCTGGTCCAGGGGCTGAAGCTTAGGATTGGGCACATTCAGCAAGGCCTTGGCATTGCCAGCCCTGCTTGGCTCTAGACTGTACCTGCTGGGAGGATCTAGAGGACTCTGGCGTGGGGGGGGGATTCTTTTAATTTTAGGATTCTGGGTAAGATTGGGCAACAAACAAATAAACAAACAGTAAAGAACCAGTGAGAAAGGTGGGAAGAACTGGCCAGAATGGCAGGAAGGAGGAGACCATAGGGAAGTAAGAGCTGGTGTTGGGAGCAGAGACCCCCGCCAGCTGTTCCGTCAGGCCTCGCCGCAGGGGTGGGTGGAGAGGTGTGGGTGTGAGAGCCTCGCCTGGCATCTGGGAGGGGCCTGCCCACTCCCTGTGGATGGCTCTTGGTTCCTGTCTCCCACTGACTTCCTCTGGGTGACCTTGGGGGGGTCACTTCCCCTCTGAGCCTTGCTCTCTTTGTATGCAAGGGAGGGGCATGGGTCAGGTGGGCTGGATGCACAGGTGGCAGTAAGATGTGAGGGTTGGACTTGAATCTCCTTGACCCAGTGGGAGCCACAAGTGGGAGTTGAATACTTCTCTGGTTTCCTCATGGGAGATAGACAGGGACCAAATCAGAGATGTGTAGGGTCTCCAGCGCCTGCAGGTGAAACCACAAACCCAGTCTCCTTTGGTCATGACCTTCCTACTCAGCCCAGCCCTTTCCAGCCTGACCATGGCCTTCCCCAGGTACTTGTCCTCCTCTCCATGCTTGTGTGTCTGTGGCTGACCTTGTGCTGGGGGACCTCTGGGCAGTTGTTTGGGCTCCAGGGTTCTTATCCACAAGCAAGTGCCAAGGAGGACATCCTCCCCCCTCCCTCTTACTCCCCACCTCCCCAACTGCCCCTCCCCACTTGCCAATATGGTCAGGGAAAGCTTGGGACATGTTTTTAAATTTGTTAATACTAATAAGTATTCTATTGTTTAAAGATTTTTTTTTTTAAATTTGAAAGGCAGATTTATATAGAGAGAGAAAAGAGATGAAGAGAACTCTTCTATCTGTTGGTTCACTTCCCAAATGGCTGAAACAACCAGGGTTGGGCTGGACCAAAGCCAAGAGTCTAGAGTTTCTGTCTGGTCTTCTCTCCCATGTGGGTGCAGGGGCTTAGGGACCTGGGCCATCCTCTGCTGCTTTCCTCGGCACATTAACAGGGAGCTGGATCAGAAATGAAGCAACCAGGGACTCCAATTGATGCCTGTGTGGAGTGCTGGTTGTCTTAGGCGGCAGCTTGCTATGCCACAATGCTGGCCCCTCAAGCATCATCCCTCCTGCTTCTCAGATGATGGCTTCTGCTCCCGACTGAGATTTTATGTTCACTGCCAATTAAGTCATCTGATGGATGTGCCTTGCGTGCCTGTTTTGTGTAGTGGCACTGGACAGGCTAGCATTGCTGCCCAGTGCTGCCTTCTAGAACTTCCCCTTCTAGCTGGGAGGACAGATAACGGGCTCATGTACTGGAGGACATGTCCTGGACGGAAGTGCTATGCTAGATTAATGGTGATATTTGCTCTGGAGGAAAGCACAGTGAGCCAGGAGAGGTGGAGAGAGTGTAAGGGGGTGGCCAGAGAACGTGACATTGAATAAAGGCCTGGAAAGGGTGGGTGACAAACCACATGGGTGCTTAGGGGAAAGGTGTGCCAGGCAGAGGGCATGGCCACTGCAAAGGCCCAGAGCGGAAGGCTGAGCCGGCCGTGCTGCCCGGAGGATTATGGTAAAAGAGATGGGGGAGTGGTAGAAAATGATGTGGGAGATTGGATGGGGCACAGTGTGCCAGGTTGGCCTGCCATTCAGTTGTGTGGGATCTTGGTGTGCACGGGAAGGCTTGTGAGTGGGGCACCGCTCCATCTGCCTTACATTGTAGCGGGTTCACTCTGGCTGTGGAGGCAGGGTACGCATGGTAGGAGCAGAGTGGAAGCCAAAAGACAGCCAGGCCCAGGTAGAGGGAGGTCCAGTCCCTGCAGCCATTCCAGGTAGAGGGAGGAGTGTCCAGGTTTAGGAGGAGCACCATATAGGAGGAAGTCATGTTTGTCTTGTGGCTTCCTTCTATGAGACAGCTGCTGCCATTCATGTGGGTGTCACATGGCTGTGCTGTCAGTGATGCAGCCACTCTCCAGAGGAATGCTGGGGTCGACTCGCATCTCCTGCTGTCCCAGACAGCATGACCGTGAACACACTTTACATGTGTGTCTTGGAGAGGTTCTTAGAAGTGAAATTGCAGATACAAGAGTAGATACATTTGTAAAGGTCCCAATCTGTTCTCCATGATGCATGAGAGGTTGGATCCTGATCTTGGGTTCCAGTCTTACTCTCTTTGCCCTCTTGTAGGCTAGGGTGCCATGGAAGTGGGCACTTTGAAAATACTCAGGGTGTGTGTTGTAGGGCAGTGGGTTAAGCTGCTGCTTAGCATGCCTTAACTGAATCGGAGTGCTGGTTCAAGTCATGGCTACTGTGTTTCTGATGTAGTTTCCTACTGATGCATCTAGGAGATCAAAGATGTTGGCTCAAGTGCTTGGGCCCCCATCACTCATGTGGAAGATCCAGGTGGAGTTCCTGGCTCCTGGCTTTTGCCTGACCCAGCCCTGGCTGTTGAACTCTCAATTTGGGGAGGGAATCAGTACATGGCAGAACTCTTTCTGTCTTTGTGTCACTCAACATTTCAAGTAGATTGAAATAAGCATCAAACAATAAAACTAAATAAAGGCTCCTTGCAAAGCCCTGAACCCAGCTGCTGTGAACTGGGCAGGCGGGTCTGCACCCCTGGTAGGAGGTCAGGGTCGTGGTGTGGCTGGCCATGGCTGCACTCAACAGAAGCCCTGGCCTAGAAAGGCTTTGTCATGGAGGTGAGCAAGACCCTTTTTGGGGGATTGAAAGATCTGTAAGCTGGGACCCAATGGGTGATTTTGTTTGCATTGCCTGGAAGCCTGAGTGACAATGACCTGTTCACTAGAAAAGGACCCAGCTAGCAATGTGACATATGAGTGAGCCCACCACTGCATGCCTCTTGCGTGATTACAGTCTATAGCTATATGTATGTGTTGGGTGACCAGCTGCTAGCCTACTCTTCGCTCCTCTCCCTGCCCCTCACTGGGGTTGCCAGCATCCTAAATAAGCATTCTACCTCTCTTTGTGCCAGATCCTCCACCTGTGAGGCATCTCTGGCCTTGAGTACCTAATATCAGGTTTGGGAACAGCTTGAGGGATGAAGTGGTATGCCAGGCAGGGTATAGCAAGTGCCAGGACCTCTTGACTCAGCACCTCCACTTGTTTATTTGAGTCCCATCTTTGAGATGCTTTCCAACCCCAGCTATTCTCTGAGCCACCTCAACTGGGTTCCTACCCGTTCTACTCAGTTATACTTAGACTTCCCAGAGCTAAAGTGCAGCAGTGCCAGCACCCAGGTCACCTGTCCCGACTGATCTCCATTGTGGCTCCCATGGCTTGCTCCCTCACTGTGCTACTGGTTGGTGTAAGGGACACAGCTCAGGGGCAGCCAGGTGCAGAGGCTGGATGCCGAGGGAGGAGAAGAGCACAGAGCATCTGTGACCCCACCTACAGGTGTCCCTGATGGGGAGCACTTTTGAATCCTGTTGTTCCAGTCTATTTTTTTTTCTTGAAGATGTATTTATTTATTTGAAAGGTAGAGTGTTCCAGAGAGAGAAGAGAGAGGGAAGAGAGAGAGGTCTTCCATCTGCTGGTTCACTTCCCAAATGGCCACAGTGGCTGAAACCAGATCATCTGGGTCTGCCATGTGGGCAGCAGGAGCCCAGGCACTTGGGCCAACTGCCATTGCTTCATGGGAAATGGAGCAGTCAGAACTCAAACCTTCATTCTGGTTTGGGATACCTACTATGCAAGCTGTGGCTTACCCTGCTGTGCCACACACTAGCCCCAGCAGGGAGTTCAGGTCTCTCCCCTTAGGTCAGTGGATGTGACTAAAGACTAATTGTATGCACTCATTTTATGTTTGGCTTCATCTGGGGTTACCTCATTTGCATAAATACAAATGTGACCCAAGGGACTCCTTATTCCTAGCCAAAGACCTTCCTCTCTATGGCTCAGGCAATTCCAGGAATGTTAGGTAGAATACAAAATGTGCCAGGAGCCAGATGCCAAGGGCAAATATGAAGTTTCATGAAAATGGAATTAAAAATGAAGCTCATTTTGGTGCAAAAATTTTAAAATCCATGCGTACCAGGGTAGGGATGGGGTCTTCAGAAAATTTCTGGGAAATGCAAATGATGACTGTCTATACCTCTGTGCTGAGGAGCTGGCTCCTTGCTGTGCATACTTCCTGCTGAGCTCTGCTGCAGGCCTGGCTGCCACCACCCACCGTAGCAGAGAAGTCAGGTGTCCGAATCTGGAGGGCAGTGTCCTGTGCTGGGCTGGTTAAAGGCGAGGATCCAGAAGCAGTCACTGAGGTGGCAGGTGGCCTCGCCATGACAGGTTTCAGTGACTGTGAACTCCTCCTTGGAGCTGGACAAGGGCTCAGTTTCTCCTGAATTTGGTAAGTCCTGTAAGGGCAGGGGCCACACCTGAGTGTGGATCTGTTAGTGGAGTGGAGTGGGTCTGGATGCCAGAGATGCCAGTAGCAGTGCCCATTTTGGGAAGTAAACACACAATAAGTAGTGCCATTCCAGACCATCCTTCCTCAATGCACAGATCCTAGGGCTCCTTCCCAGGAACTCCACAGATGAATCTGTAGAGGTTCTGTAGGCTGGAGGGAGAAGGGCCCTCCAGCTGTGCTGCTGATGCTTGGTAGAAACTACATGCCTGGCTGGACCCCGCTTGCCTCAGCTGTAAAACTTAGGGCTGGACTTCAGCACCTCTTGCCTTTAGGGCACCCTGCAGAGACTTGTCCTTCACGTATGATAATGCATAAATATGTTTAGGAAATGTACATGTCATAAAACCATGACTCACTCTGTATAACTTAAACCCAACACCCACATGAAGAAACAGAATTCAACCAGCACTTTGGCAGTCACCTTTCCTGCTTCTTGCCAGGAATTCTCAGGGAGGACCATAAGCTTGATCATTAGTATTTGTAGTTACACCTGGTTAGTTGGTTTTTAAACTTTATGTAACTTAAATCATTCAATATGAACTCTTTGGCGGGGAGTTGCAATTCTTTTCCCAGGATTATTTTGGGGGCACATTATAGCATGTAGTGTGTATTTTATTTTCATGTCTCCATGCTATTCTGTCCACCATCACATTTTAAAAAAACATATAGAAACTTTGTGAATATTGTTCAGTGCCTGGATCAGATAGGACATGTGAGTGAACACCCCTAATAGCTTTACTTTTGCTTAAGATGGTAGCCACTTGCCAGTGTTCTAACCCTGGTTTTCCCTGTGTTTAAAAAACTAGGAGGTAAAGAACTACTACTCAATGCATATCAGCTTTAAAGTAAAAACAAACAAACAAACAAAAAAGAAATCTTCAAAACAGAATCACAAAGAACAAGTGACCAAAGCTGTGACACTGTGAGTTAAGCAGTTGGGGTGCTGGCATCCAATACAGCAATGTTGGCTCATGTTGACGCTGCCCTTTCAGATGAGCTGTGTGCCAACGTGCTGGAGAAGCAACAAATGATGGTTGAAGCACTTGAATCCTGGCCACCCATGTGTGAAGATCTGGATGGAATTTCTGGCTCCTGATTTTGGCCTCCCAGGTCAGGATGTGTGGCCATTTGGGGAATCAGACAATGGGCTGATGATCTCTGTCTCTCCCTGAAATAAATAAATCTTTTAGAAATTTTGTGGAAATGGGCCAGTGTTGTGGCACAGTGGGTTAACCCAGCACTTTTCTTGGAATACCCAAATCCCATGTCAGAGTGCCCATTGGATTCCTGACGACTTCTGACCCAGCTTCCCTGGGAAAGTGTCTGGGCATCAGTGGATGATGGTTCAAGTACTTGAGTTCCAGCCACCTCCATTGAGTTCTGGCTCCTAGCTTTGGCACAGCCCAGCTCTGGCTCTCGTGATCATTTGGGAAGTGAACCAGCAGATGGCAGCTCTCTCTCTCTCTCTGTTTCAAATAAATACATTTTCAAAAAGGGCCATAAACACAGGGATTCTTCATGGTAGAAATATTGCAGCTCTTGTGGATCACTTGATCGATTTATTGCTCATCAAATATTCTTCCCCAACCTGTCATGCAAATCGACATCATCTCACAGAGCTGATGACCTACCTTTCCATACTTTGATTTCTAATAAGCATTATTTTTTAATTGTTATTTTATTTTGATAATCTTTACATAGTTGATCAGGGCAAAAAAGGTCAAGGGCTAGAGGAAAGTGGGTAAGACCATTGTTTCTGCATTCTCTCTCTCTCTCTCTCCTGTATCTGGGGTAAGGGGGGAGATAAAGGGAGAAGCCCCACCCAGCCTCCCAATCATCCCAGGGTCCCCGATGTAGGGCATGCTCCGAGGGCACTGCTCAAGTGGTTTTGAGTGTTCAACAGTTCTGAATTGCTGCCAATCTTGCCATTCCAAGCACAATGAAATCTCTTTAGAATCCACTGGTTGACATAGTCTACCTTAAAGTCACGCATTGGCCCAGATTTTTGTTGCCAACATGTAGCTTGGGTAGATGATCGATTTGTTCTGTCGTCCATCCTCTGTTGTTGTACCAGGTGTCCTCTGCAGGTTCCGATGGACTGCATTATCATCCATATGCACCTGGATATATTGTCCACTGTTCCGTCTGAGCCTCTGAGGAGGTTCAGCTTTGACACATGCACTCCACGGTCAGACCATGGAACCTGCAATTCTCTTCATGGTTGGGGTTCTGAGATCAGCAGTTCAGTTGGAGAGATCCCCAAAGAAACATGGTCTGAAGTCATTCCAGACCTGATTCTTGTGTGTGCATGTCAGTACAGGGTCCGGCACAGTCTGTAGCCTCAGTCAGCTTATGCATATGCTGGTGGTTGCAATTGCTGGGTCAGTTCTGTTTCCAGTGCTGTCTTCTACATGAACCAATGGGTGTTGCAGTCCAGCTCGATCCTATCCACTTCATACTCAGTCCTCACGCAAACCAGTGGGAGCTGTAGCCTAGTTAGAGCAACCCTCAGTAACTCCCACCAGATCTACCTCCGCCCTGTTTCCCATGCTTGTGCTTGCTGGTACGTACAGCAGACTGGTCCAGTCTGTCCCACATCCCATTCAACTCTCATACATGTCAGTGGACATTGAAGCCTAGTTCAATTCAACCAGCCCCACTATCCAGCCCACACACATACTGGTGGACGCCATTCTGTCTAGCCATGCCTGCCCCAGTCCTGGTTTTCATGCTCTCCAGTGGGAGTGATAACTCGAGAGGGAGGTGTCCACTATTTTCTTAATGGACCCACTCCCAGATCATGCATTCTTCAGGTGGTTCTGCAGTTTAACTTGACAGAATTACTCCCCAGTTCCAGCTTCTGCAAGCTGATGCTGTGGCAAAGCCCAACCAATCCTTACCCACTCTGATTTATGCTTGCACCAGTAGGAACAGTCAGCCCAGCTTGGCTTTCCCTCGATCTAGCTCACATGAGGCCAACAGGTGTTGTAGCCCTGCCCGGCCTGGTCTGCCCCATCCCAACTCACGCTCTTCAGTGGGAGTGGTGGTCCAGCAAGGGAGTCCTCCCCCCTACCAGCTTTGCCCCATCTCCCCCTGGTTCTCACCTGTGCTGGTTGGGCTCTGCGGCCCAGTCTGGCATGGCCCACCTTGCCTCGGCATTTGCTAGTGGGTGCTGTAGCCTGGCCCAGCCTAGCCTACCCCTAATTCCAGCTCACGCTGGTGGGGGTTATACTAGCTCAGCCAGCACCCAGTCCCAGCTGTAATGTGTTCTGGTATGTCTTGCGACTGAATCCTGCACCCACACTCCATTCTGGTGCTTGGATTTGCCAGTGGGTGATGTGAATTGATTTAGTCAGGTTCACCCCCGACCTGTGCCAAATGTATGCCAGTAGGTACTGTAACCTGGCATGGTCTGGGCTGATCCCTATCATGGTTCTTGTGCTTACCTGCAGGGACTGTGTCTTGACAGAAGAGTTTTCCAAGCTCCTCCATCAGAATCTCTCCCAGTGTCAGATCTCTCACACACCGGTAGGTCCATGGGCCAGCCCTAGTTAGTCTACCTCCTGTCCTAGCAGGAACAGTGGCCTTTCCTTACTGGCCTTCAACCCATTCTGGTTCTTACTATTGGATGTTTCAGTCTAGCCAAGGCTCATCCACACCCAGACACAGCTCACACATGGCTCAGCAGGGGCAGACACCTATCCCAGCCCATCCTACACCCATCCTGGTTCTTTTTTTTTTTTAAAGATTTATTTTTATTATTTTTTATTGGAAAGGCGGATATACAGAGAGGAGATACAGAGAGGAAGATCTTCCATCCGATGATTCACTCCCCAAGTGAGCCGCAACGGGTCGATACTATGCCGATCCGAAGCCAGGAGCCTCTTCCGGGTCTCCCACGCGGGTGCAGGGTCCCAAAGCCTTGGGCCGTCCTCAACTGCTTTCCCAGGCCACAGGCAGGGAGCTGGAAGGGAAGCGGGGCTGCCGGGATTAGAACCGGCGCCCATATGGGATCCCGGGCGTGCAAGGCGAGGACTTAACCACTTGCGCCACCGCGCCGGGCCCCATCCTGGTTCTTATAATCACCAGTTGGTGCTGAAGTCTAGCCCAGTTTGGCTCACCCCAGCTCCAGTCCACACTTGTTCTGAGGACACTGCAGCCATGTCCAGGACAGAACTCAGCTCCAGCTCTGGCTCCCTGCACTCACCAATGGGAACTACAACCCAGCCAGGGTGTCCCCTTAGCTCCCTAACCAGGCCTGTTCCCAGCCATAGATCATAGTCAAAGCCAGTGGTTGCTTTGACTCAACTTGGCATAGCCCCTCCCTGTCTTGACCTTTACCTTAGATGCTGTAGCCTGGCCTGGCCCGGCCTACCCCCATCCTGATTCTTGCTGGCAGGCGATGGAACCTGGCCCTGCTTAATCTATTCCCATCCCTGGCTCATGCAAACCAATGGATGTAAGAGCCTAGCTTGGCATGACCTGTGCTCCAGCCTGATTTTGTTCTTGCTGAGCTAAGGTTTGCTCAGTTCTGCCCACTCCCCCTTCCATAACTAACCCACACATTAGCCAACAGGTGGAGCTACTTTACCCAGCTTGCCCGACCTCCAGGCCTGGACCATGTCATCATCAGTTAGAGTTATGACTCACTAGGGGCATTTCCCAAGTTCGCCCACTTGACCCACTCCCAGACCCAGATCTCATACATGCCAGTGGGTGTTAGGCAAGTGCCTGGCATTGTTTGCCCTTCCACCTTGGCCTTGTATGAGCTGGTGAATGTTCAGCCCTGCCCAGCCTGGCCCACCCAATGCCCTGTTTTAGGATGCACATGCGGGTGCTGCTGCCTGGACCTGCCCTGTACCCATAAGTGATGGCAGGTTCCATGGTCACAACTAGCTCAGCCCATCCCCATCCCAACTCCTGAGCTAAACAGCAGGACTTGTATTTCCACAGGGTTGGGCCTAAACATCCCCCACAGAATCTACCCCTGGACCTGGTTCTCTCATGTGCTGGTTAGTGTCATGGCCCTGTCTAATGTGATCCATACCCTGTTCCGGCATTCTGTTAGGTACTAGGATCTAGCCCATACAAATCATCCAGCCTCTCCCCTCTAAACCAGTAGGTCCCCTCACTTACCTTCAAGTAGAGTGACCCTGTCATTGGGAGTCCTCAGGACTGATTCCTCACCAACATGCACAGTGGCCTCATTCATAGATGTACCATGAAGGGAAAAACCCAGCACTCACTCACTGAGTGGCAGTGGTAGCTATGGCCAGGGCCCCAAGCATTGAATTCAACCTGGTTTGGGTACTCCTGGCCACCACCAGGCTGCTGGAAGATCTCTCCCAATAAGCATTATTTTTGAAGAGCAATTTTATATATGCAGTGACATTGAACAGAAAGCACAGCTTGTTCACTACAGCCTAGTATTTCCTTCAGTGCTATATAGTGCCTTCCTTCCTGTTTGGAGATATAAATTCTTTCTTTCTTTTTTTTTTTTCCTACTACAAGTAAGCTTGCTCAGGACAGCTTGGTAGGAATGTCTTTACACTCAGCTGATCACATCCTGAGGATAATTTCTCCATATGGACTTGCTCCCACAAAGGGTCTGCTCATTTCAAGGCTTTGAACATGGTTGCCAAACTGCCCTTCAGAAAAAGCTGATGCCAGTTTACACCCCAATGCGTTGGGGATAATGTGCCCATTTCCCCCGCCTATGACCAACTCAAAATATCACAATTTTTAATGTTTGCCTAAATAATAGAGGAGACAGAATAGTTTTCTACTTTATATCTACTTTTATAGTAATAAAGTTCAAGTTTTTCATAAAGTATATGGATCTTTTATGTTTTTCAGGAGCCTTGGAGTAACGCAGGAACTTCCTCAGTGTCTCTTACACCATGCATGATGCAGCCAGGGCAGGAGCGCAGGGCCTGGGTGCCCAGCCCAGGGCTTTGTGTGAAAGGCACCAGCCTTTTGTGCTTTGATTGGCACAGGGAGCAGCAGAGGATGCAATGGTGGGTCCCTGTTCTCATGACATTGCTCGTGGACATGGAGTATCTGTCTCCATCTCAAAGAATCCTTGCTGGATTCTTGCAGTGCCATCCCATGGGGAAACCAAGTGAGTCACAGACTCCCAGGACGCTGGCCACACTGGCTGCTGGGGGCAGGGAGAGGGTGGGTAGTACAGGATCCTGGCACCTGGCCAAGGGTGAAAACGGAGCTGTAGGCCCAGGACTGCTGCATTCGGCCCCCTGCTCTTGGGTTTGCATCTCATTGCTGTGCTTGCAGTAGGCTTAATCTCTGCATGTGCAGACTGTGAGGAGCCAGCTCAGGGGGAGCCTTGCCAGCAGCGTGGAGTCCTTCAGGAGGCCGCTCGCTACCCCACTCCGGCCCCAGCCCTGCACCGGGCACCTAGAACAGTGTGTAGAAAAGGCAGCTTAGGCTCTGCCTGGCTCAGGCCTCACAGTGCTCGCTGAGGCAGACCCAGGGGAAGACATGAGCCTTTGTATGTGTGTCTGTCTGTCTCCCTGGAGGTTCCTCTGGTTCTGCCATCTCCTCTCTCCTCTGTCCCTGTTCTCCTGACATTCCCCGTGAACGTGGAGTATCTGTCTCAAAGTTGCAGTCTCCCTGGGCTGCTCGAGGGTTGTCATGCCCACAGGTGATGCTGGGTCCTGATCCCCTAGATAGCTGGTCACTTGGTGGAGGGTGACGAGCTCAGGTGTGCATGGGCTTAACAGACAGGTGTCAGTCAGTGAGAGTTCTGTGATCCGGAAGGTTTCCTCTTCTTTTGCTTTGGCTGTCAGGAGGCTCATAACTCCGTGAACATCTGGGTCACTCACCAGTTTATGGCAGATTATTGCTGCGTTTGGCACCTCGCTCTCCAAGAGGCCTCTGACAGCCTTTGGGTTACTGCTCAACAGTCCTGTTTAGTGTGTGTATGTGGGGGGCGGGGTGTAAGATGTGGCAGATGTGTTATGTGATGGAGGGGGATGTAAATGTGAAATAAGACATAAAAGAAGGTGATCCATAAACGCCTCTTCCCCCAGAGCCTTGGGGAGCTAGAAGGGGTGTGTTCCTTGACTCCTTGGTTCTTCTCGCCCTGTCTCGCTTGCCCTCCCCATCTCCTCATGCCCTTCTCTCTTTCTTTCCTCTTTATCCTTTTTCTCCTACTATGGCCTTCTTTCCCTTCCTGCTTCTTTCTCATCCCATTGCTTTGGGACAGCCAGAAGTCCACTAAGAGCATTTGCTATAATAAATGATAGCATTCGGCTCACTCCCAGGCCCTGCATCAGCCTTCTCTTGGGTGGAAAACCTGCCAGTTCTGTTTTCTTTTTGCAAGCCTCACCAGGTGAGCGCTGAGTGTTGGCATGGGTCATTTGATCACTTTGGTGGCTGTTTATTGAGAATATGCTATGTGCTAGGCTAGGCTGAGACAGGGGCCTTGGAGTGCAACATTTAAGGATGCTCTGACTTTTGGGTGCCAGTTCTATAAGTGCATGTCCCGTAAGCGGAGGGCTTCTTTAAAAGTTTCTGCCCTTGGGCTTGGTTTACCTTTCTGTAGCCTCAGCCTTCCTGCCAGGTGTGGTGTAAGGTGCCAGTAGTTGAGTGGGCAGTGCTCACCCTTGACCTTCAGAAGTTCATAAAGAGGCATGTGATGAAAATAAAGCATGGATTTCAAAATGTCTTCATACTCAAAATAAATTGGCTTTTTAATACTGTTTTCCAAGAACCTTTTAAGGGCCTTTGCATAGTCAAGGGAGGGTTTCTGTTCTTACAGGGAACTCTATGACAAATAATTGTTCTGGGGGGCGGGTGTTTGGGGCGGTGGTTAAGACACCCCTTAACCACTCACATCCTATATCAGAGTGACTATTGGCTCAGCTTTCAGTTCCAGCTTCCTGCTGATATGCACCATGGGAGGCAGCTGCTGATGGCTCATGTACTTGATTCTCTGCTATGCTTCTGAGAGACCCTGGTCCAGCTCCAGCTGTTCTCCCAGTATTTGGGCAGTAAATGAGCAGTTGAAATTTTGGTCAGCATGACTCCTTCTCTCCGTCTATTTCTCTTTTAAACAAAGCGCAAATAAAGGACCACTATGGTGGAATGTCAGAGAAAGCTGCCACCTGCAATGCTGGCATCCCATATGAGTACCAGTTTGTGTCCTGGTTGCTCCACATCTGATCCAGTTCCCTGATAGTGGCCTTGGCAGAGGCAGCAGAAGATGGCCCAAGTTCTTGAGCCCCTGCCTTCCATGTGAGAACTTCAAAAGAGGATCCAGGCCTGGCCTGGCTTTGGCCTGGCCTCGCTCCAATTGTTACAGCCATCTGGGGAGTGAACCACCAAATGGAGGATCTCTCCCTCTCTCTCTCGCTATAATTCTTTCAAATAAATAAAGTTTTTGTTAATAAAAAAAATGAGAATAAACTACAGATTAAAAGCTATTCAGAAAATAGTGCTAACAAAGGACCAAGCTAAGCGTGGGAAGCGCACTGACATGTGGCCGGGGTTAGGAGAGGGCTGAGTAGAGCTTCCCAAGTGTGCTGTAGCAGGTGGGGATGCAGCAGGTTCAGAGACATTCATGGCCAGATGGAACATGGCTGGGCCCCCAGGCCTTGTTCTAGGCTGGCCAGAGCAGGGGAGCACTGCACAGGATGGTCCTAAACAGTGTGCCTGAATAAACCTGGACTCCAGTCCAAATTATGCAGTGGTAGAAGGTGCTGGTGCTCGTCTGGCCTCATCCTCCTGACCGGCCTTCCTCAGTGGGCTGTGCGGAGACTGGACCCAACCTGCCCTGCAGACTCCTCTCTGTCCCCAGCAGGGCCACATCTGCGGGGGACTCCCTTACCAGCCCCATTTTCCACAGCACCAAGAAAACTTAGGTAACCTGCTGGAGGGGTGGGTGTGAGCACAGTGGTTAAATTGGGACCTGGAATGCTGGTGTGCCCCATCCCGATGCCTGGCTTCAAGTGGCAGCTCCACTCTCTAGCCCAGCTCCCTGCTAAAGTGTACCCTGGGAGGTAAGCCGCAGGTGAAGGCTCAAGTACTTGGGTCCCTGCCAGCCATGTGGGAGACCTGGATTGAGTGTCAGGATCCTGGCTTTGGCCTAACGAAGCCCTGCCTGGCATTAGGGGAGTAAGTCAGCAGATAGAAGACCCCCCCCCCACTTCTGTCTCTCTGCTTTTTAAGTAAATAAATATTAAAGGTAAATAAACTAGATAGCATTCCACAACAGAACTGGGTAGCTTATGCACTCATTTCTCACAGTTCTGAGAGTGGGAGAGCCAAGATCAGGTGCCAGGTCCCTTGCACAGAACATTGGCATGTCCCCCCGTTCCCACATGGACATCAGAGCCTGCAAATGTCATTCACTGGGGATTGTCGCCTTACCACACCATCTCAAAATACAGTGGCATGGAAGCCTAGGGCTTCCACATGGGAATTTGGCGTCCAGGACCCATTGGGCTCTTACCACCTGTCAGGGACCATGAAGCCCATTAGGGAAGTTTGAAGATAGCCTAGGTTCCTAATGATCAGACTTTTTATTTTTAACCACTGAAAGCTGGACTTGGGTGCCAAGGCCCGATTCCACCTCCACAGGGTGGGGACCATGATTGCTTCAAAGGAGGACAGAGATACAGCATGGATATGATGAGGCAGACCAGAGCCACAGTGTTTTTTTTATTTTTTAGATTTATTTATTTTCCTATTAGAAAAGCAGATTTATAGAGGGAAGGAGAGAGGGAAAGATCTTCCATCCACTGATTCACTCCCCAAATGACCACAATGGCTGGTGCTGAGCCGATCCGAAGCCAGGAGCCAGAAGCATTTTCAGAATCTCCCATGTGAGTGCAGGGTCCAAGGACTTAGGCCATGCACTGTTTTCCCAGGCCATAAGCAGAGAGCTGGATGGAAAACAGAGCAGCCAGGTTACGAACCAGTGTCCACATGGGATGCTGGTGCTTGGAGGTGGAGGATCAGCCTATTGAGCCATTGTGCCAGCCCCCACAATGTTTCAATCTGGGGTTCTCCTTTTTCCAATTTATATTAGGGGCATCCTGGCCTCTATGCTAGACTCCATCAGAAATGTTCTGTGTGACCTTGGGCCTGTTACTCCACACCTCTATGACAACCCCCGCCCCCCCCCCCCCCGCCCCATTCCCTGGCAGCTCAAGGCTGGGTGGGCCAGGCCCCAAGCATGGAGCCCCTGGTATGCATCCGGGAGGCTGGGGTGATGGGCACTGCGTTCCCATCCCAGGCGGTGCAGGTGAGAAGGCCCGGAGGGTCGCTGTGGACTCTACCCTCCTTCCCCAGTCCCCCAGTCTCGAGCCCAGCAGCGGCTGCCAGCACACCGTCCGTGCGCCCCCCTCCCGGCCGCCCGCCAACTGCGTGCCCCGGGGCCGGCAAGAAGCCACATGCCCCGCAAGGAATGCCGGGCGGCTGGGCGGCTGGGCGGGGCGGGCGCCGGGGGCCGGGCGAGCGTCCCGGAGCCCAGGCTGCAGAAAGCACGAGCCCGCACCCCGCAGCAGGCCCCCCGGCACTAGCGCCGACGGGGCGCGCACAGGCTTCAGCGGAGGGAGCGCCCGGGGTTGGGCCGGCCCCTTGGGCGCGCCCCCCGGCCCAGCGCTCTCGGGAGGAGAAGGAGGAGGAGGAGGTGGAGAAGGAGAAGGGAGGCCGTCCCATGGCCCACACCCCTCCCAGCCTGCAGCGGCTTTGGGGCCCCGGTGTGGAGCAGGGGGCTGATTAGCCGAGGCGCAGGGGTGTGGCCAGCGGGGCCCCAGGGAGTGAGTCACACACGCCACTCGCCCAGTCTCTGGGCTCTGCATGGCACTAGCGAGCTGCCGCACTGCCCTGGGGCCCTGACCGAAAATAGGAGTTGGGGGCATTCCCAGGGCTTGGCATGAGGACCCAGGGGTGCCGAGGGCGGGGCTGAAGCCCGGCGGTGGCTGGAGGGCGGTAAGCCTCGTCCGGGACGTGGAGTGGGTGGGTTTGCCCTGGCCGGCCATTTCAGCACCCGAGGACCCGCCTGTTACCTGTCCTTGGGCCTGCACCCTGGCAAGCACTCAGCAGGGTGGGTTTCACCCGCCTCGGGGAGGGTGGGGGATACCCAGGCAAACTTGGCTTTGTCCCTTCCTGCTCCCCTGGCTGACTTCTGTGCCTGGGCTCACTGTGCCATTCCCCCATGCCCTTTGCCCTTTGGCTTTGAGGTCTCAGCCTGGTCCTTCCCAGCCCTGCCTCCTGGCCTGAGCTGCCCCTTGTGCCTGACCCCCATGGGGCTGGTGGCTCCAGCCGTCCCCAGGACCAGCCCGGGATAGAAATGGCATTTCCTCTTGGCCGAGCTACAGCTGTTTTTGTTGTCTGTGTTCTCAAGCGCTTCCTCTTGGGGATGGCAGGGGAGGGTAACCAGACTCCCAGGGACCCCTGTGTACCCTCTGCGCCACTCACCCGTCTTCGCCTGTCTCTTTGATCCGCTTCCTGTGCTGGCCCTGCCTCCTGCGTCCTCAGGACAGAATGACTGAGAACATGAAGGAGTTCTTGGCCCAGACCAAGGCTGCCATGGGGGACACGGTGACGGTGGTGAAGACCGAGGCCTATTCTCCACTGCACGACCAGGACTATGGCCAGCCCTGGTGAGGCTCTCGTGTTGGGGGGCTGGGGCTGGGGGGAATGGTTGCTTGTATGGGTTGGGTACCCTTTCTACTCCCCTCCCTGCCCACCATGCTCCCTAACCATGCACTTGGATTGCCCCAGGGCCAGAGGTGAAGCCCAGGTTCTCGGATCCTTCAGGGGAAGCTGGGCATGGGCCTTAGAACTCCAGTCTTGGCACATCCCCTGCAGAGCACCAGCTGGCAGCATCGCCTCTGCCCGCTGCCCCATCCCCTCCTCCATGGCCAAGTCCCTCCCCCCTAGGCAGTCCCCATCTGATGATAGCTGTCTTGGCTTTCCTTGCTGGCCCCTACCCTGGCCAGCTCCAGGAGACCCGATGCCTCCGTCATGGAAGTTGAGCCCAAGAAGCTGAAGGGGAAGCGTGACCTCATCGTGCCCAAAAGCTACCAGCAGGTGGACTTCTGGTGTAAGTTCAGCCTGGTGCTCTGGGCCCCTCCCTCCCTGGGGCACTTGGCTCAGTGGTGCTTGAGGAAATTGACTTACCTATGAAGGTCCAAGTGCAGGTGCAGGCCCTTGGGGAGTCCTCCCACGGGAGGGAGGGAGGGCGGGTGCTGTTGTTGCTCCCATTTTCCAAGTGGGAGTACACTAAAGCTTGCGGAGGAAGTGTCTTATTCCAGGTGCTGTAGCCCCCCACAAAGTGCTCTATCCATTCCAGTGCAGACTCACCAGCCAGCTTTCTCCAGAGTCCTAGGGAAGCTGGTGGCTTCCTTGGCCTTGGCAGGTGTGTTCTTTGAGTCTCCAGGGAGCATAAGTGTGATTTGCTCCTAAGGGTCCAGGGTTGGGGAAGGGGCAGACCTGGCACTGCCTAGTCACCTGCCAACTGTGGTCCACTGCCTCTGAGCTGTCCTCCTGGTCGGCCCTCTTTCCCACCACCACTGAAACCCCCTCTTTCGTGCTTGCTTCCCTCCCGTTCCCCCTTCCCTCCGCTCCCTAGTCTGCGAGTCCTGCCAGGAGTACTTCGTGGACGAGTGCCCGAACCACGGCCCCCCTGTGTTTGTGTCCGACACACCGGTGCCCATGGGCATTGCGGATCGGGCGGCCCTCACCATCCCACAGGGCATGGAGGTGGTCAAGGAGGCCAGTGGCGAGAGCGACGTGCGTTGTCTCAGTGACGTCATCCCCAAAGGCCGCATCTTCGGCCCTTACGAGGGGCAGATCTCCACACAGGACAAGTCGGCCGGCTTCTTCTCGTGGCTGGTGAGTGGCCCCCGGAGCATGGAGGGGAACCCTCAAGGGGGAGCTACAAACACGCTGGCCCCTGAGTATTTCAGTCTACTCTTTCAGATGCGTGCATCTCACCGGCCTCTCGCCCTAGGTGAGTGTGGGCCTTGGTGGCCCAGATCTGGGCCAAGGGGAGCCCCGCCCTCCCGTGCTGATTGACAGATGCATGAAGCATCAAGACAAGCGGTGGTCAGAGCAGTTTTCCCATAATTCTCCTGTGTGCGTGCATCCAGCAGGCCACGGTGTGGCGTTTATAGAGGGTTTGCAGATCCTTGTCCTGAGATGGGTGATGACTTGGAGCTGTAGGCAGAGAGACTGAAGGATGTAATGACAGTAGGAAAAACAGTGATTGCAGGTGCTGGGCTGAGTCCACAGCAAGACCGACATGCTATCAGGGTGTGCATGGTGTCAGAGGGGCGTTCCACAAGGCCAGATACACATGGTGCTGTGGCTGAAGATGGGATACCGCGCAGAGGCATGTGGCAGTGTCGGTGGTGCCCACAGCTTGTGAGCTGTTCAGGTTTGCCGGCTCTGCTGTTCTTCCCTCACTGTGACCCTGGTGGAGTCGTTTACTTCTGTGCACCTGCCTTGTAGAGTGAGATGGCAGTGACTGAGAAAAGCCAATGGTCAACTTCTTAGAATTCTTGTACCAAGTAAACACAGCAAGCATCTACTGTTGTCATCACCGTCATCATTGTTGGCCTATTGGAGGGGTCTGGAGTGGCTTCCTTTTAGCCTGGGACTTGATTCGTCTTGGCAAGAGGGTGGCAGAAAGCTGTGTGTGGATGAAGGAGCTGAGAGAGAGGAACTGCAGTGGGGAGGCTGGGACGAAGCGACCAGTCGGGGGCACAGAGGTGGCCATGGCTCAGAGAAAGCTTTCAGAGAGCTGGGCTGTGGTCATAGGGAAGAAACGTCCACCTGTAAGACGGGGGAGGGACCTCCTGGTGCCTGCAGCAGCATGAGCAAAGGCCCTGTGGCGGAAGAGAGCATGCCCCGTGTGAGCAGCCGGGTGGTCAGTGTGCGTGGATTGTAGCAGCTAGTACAGGGGTCTGGAGGAGGACGAGGACTCGAGGCTTGACCCTGTAGGGTCCAGTGTGCCAAGTTAGGAGTGTGGTGGTTCGTTTTGAAGAATAGTGGCCAGCTTTCAGATTGATTAAAGTTGGAGGTGATGATGTTGGTGATCCAATTACAGATTTGGAAAGGGCTTCTGGGTGCAACCTGGAGAAATAGGTCAGGAGAGTAGAGGTGAGGCGTTGGTCAAGATGGGTTGCTTACTTCCCACGTCCTGGTTACAGTGCTGGGCAAGGTCTTTAAGTCAGATACCCCAGGAAAACCTGTGCCAGGGCTGGGCTGGGCTTGGAGTGATGTGGAAGTGGCAGGCTGGACGCAAGAGTTTGGACATTGAAGAGCTTTGGAGATGTCGCTTGGAGTCACCTGTGCCTAGGCAGTTGGAAGGCAGGTGTGTGGAGGGCAGCAGCGGGGAGAGCAGGGGCCGAGCGACAGGTGGACGGGTCTGGGAGGAAGCTGGGAGCAGCTGTAACAACGTGTGGTCCTGAAGGGAGTGGAGCACCCCAACAGGTGGGAAGAACAGGCATCCTGGAAGTCAAGGGACAAGAGAGGCTGCAAGGGCCTCCGTGGCTAGAAGTGCCAAATCCTGCCAAGCAACTGAGTGTTAGAGAAGGACCAAAAGTCTCCTGTGCCTTTGGTGCTGGGGAAGCCACTGGGGACTTCAGCAAGTGGTGTGCCCTGATTTTGTCAGTGCCCAGTTCAGACCCTTGCCCTGTCTGGAGACATTGTGGGGGTGGTAGCGAGAAGGTCAGAGTCAAGGTTGGCGGCCACCATGGTTATCTGCAGCAGCCCTCCCTGTAGGGGAGTGTGGCCGTGGAGACCTGATTAATGTGAAGGGGGGTGGCGGTGACCGGCGGGGTCACTTCTGGGCAGCTGGGCTGAAGATGAGCTCAGACACGGAGGAGAGAGATAGGAGTGAGATGGCGACTGCCGCCCTTCCTGGGACCGAGGGGATCGGTAGGGATAGAGAGGCCTTGGCAGCCTTCAGAAGCTGATAGATGAAGGGCGAGGTGAGGCAGCCACCAGTGCTGTCCCATCACCTCCTAGGGTTTTGATGGAGACCTCAGGCATGGCCAGGCATGGGGGCAGTCCCTTGAGGGACAGCTCCAAGGCTTGGAGTGGATAGAGACCAAATAATAACCCCCCTGAAGCTGTCCAGTTTCTGGGCACCAGAACTGTGTGCATTGTCCTGGTTGGCAAAAGGGCATTTGTAGGTGAAATGAAGTGAAGTGAAGGCTTTTGCAATGGAGAGTTCATTCTGGACCCTCTGGCTGTCCCCAGTGCCCTGACGAGCTTCATAAGAGGGAGACAAAAGGTTCCAATTTAGAGGGTAAGAGATTGACAGGTGCCACCCTGCTGGCCTTGAGGACAAGGGAGGGAGCATGGTGCTAAGGGATGCAGGCACTGGGAGCCAGGACAGGCCAGGACATGGGTTCTTCACAGAGCTTCCAGAAAGCTCTGCCAACAGTCAGCCTTTGGGACCTGTAGCCTCTGTAATGGAGGAGAATCCATTTGTGTGTGGGATTTGGAGCCAGTGTTGGCAGCTACTGATAAGACCTCTCAGTGGCTGAGGAGTTTGGAGGATATGGTTCAGCTGTGCATGGAGGTGAGCTGGTAGCTGGGACGGAAGACAACTGAGGCCAGCTCAGGCCATGGTGACCATGGTTCAAAGCACATGCAAGGTGCATCTCCTTCTCCTGGGTCTTCCAGAACTGGTGAGAAGTGAGGGAGGGACAGAAAGGGGAAAGGATGGTGGGGACAGGGTCTACCAACTTGAGGACAACATGAAGACCCTGGTGTACTTGACAAAAGTAGTTTAATGTTCGGAGAAATTACCATGGATGGAGCTGTGAGCATGGGTTGGTGGGTGGTCCATGGAGCAATTATTATGTGCCAGCTGCATACAAGGTCCCCTCTTGGCATTTCTCAGTCCCCTTACTCCCCTTGATGGTGCCACAGGGAGCCATGTCACCCATGTTGTTCAGATAAAGACACACAGGGCGAATGAGGCTGAGCCGCAGCCCCGACTGGCACATGGAGCACCTCAGGCTACTTCAGATATGCTGGTTGTCTCCTGGACCAGGAACTGTCAGAGTTCCTGTGCCGGGAGATGTGACTGAGGGGGTGCAGCATTCCTCAGACTCCACAAGCCTGCTGTGGAGTGGGTCCAAAGTCACCCCCTTCTCATGGTACAGAGCAACTAGCAACTCCACACCCCAAGCAGGGAGCTTGATATCTCACAGAGGTGGAGGAGGTTTGCACTGTGTCTTCTGGTGCCTGTGGTTCAGTTACAAGGAACAAGGGCTGTGGTGGATCGGAGGGGAAGAGGCTTGCTCCTAGCCACGCAAGGCAGAAGCAGGCTTACTGGGCCCACTGTGCTACACGGGGCTGGAGGCGGGGCGAGTGGGATTGGTTTTGACAGGATAGTTGGGGAGAGGGACTCAAAGAGCAGACAGAAGCTCAACACAAAAAGCCCATGGATTCTCAGCCTGCAGGAAAAGTGTAGTAGAGAAAATATAGAGACAGGCCTGCCACCAGACTGGTCCAGTCTCCCTCTGATGCTACAGCCCGTCCCCTGGGACAGCCTAGCCAGGGAAAGCTGGGAGTCGCAAAAGAGGACCGATTCTGCCAGGCTGGCTCTCTAGCATGGGTCTGGTGGGGGCTGGGAGGAGAGGAAGGGTAAGACGTCCTGGAGTTGGCAGCCTGACTCTGGACAGCCCCACTGGTGGGGGTGATGTGGCCTGTGGCCAGAGGCGGGGTTGGCAGCTGCCCAGGGCCATCTGAAGGTTTCCTTCCCATGGTCTGGGAGCTGCGGCAAGTGCAGGCATGGTTTTAGGGAGGGAGGGGCTGGAGGTGGCCTGAAAGTGTGTGGGAGACTATGCCCTTTGAGAGCCTTGCATGATAAGAGCCTTTGCAGGTCTGAAGTGAACAGGTGTTGGAAATGGTTCCAGGGAGCTGGGGCTGAAATGTGGGGTCTGCATGTGTGCAGTGTACATGCACACCTGTGAGCACATGTATTTGCATGTGTATGCATGCATGTGTGCTTGTGTGTGTGTGTGCACTGAGGTTGGGTATTTGGGCCACAGCTGGGAGGGAGTACCCTGCCTGCTTGAGCTGGTAGGAGAGGCAGGGAGAGTTGGACTGAACCACGGTGCCAGTTCTGGATCAGGGCCTGGAGACTGCATCCGAAATAGATGGTGATCATTTGTCAAATCCTGTGTGCTGAAGCCTTGCTTGCTGTCTTTTCTTGACCCGCCAAGTACCGTCCATAGCTGACTCCCAAGCCCAGGACCTTCGGCAACATGTGTACTCCACTCTAGTAGGAGTGGTGATGGTGTTGTACTGGGCTATCACCCGTGGTTATGAGGCGCTTCCTGTGCCTCCGGGCCCATATTTGGCACCTTTGAGCTTCAACTCCTTTGTCCCAAGCCACAATCCTGTGACATAGACATTATTCCACCCATTATGCAGCCAAGAAAACTGAGGGCTGTAGAGGATGATTCGTTTTGCACAAAGCTCTTGCAGCATTGGACTAGAATTCCAGCTCCAGAACCAGCCCTCTCACTCTACCTCGAGTCCCCTTGGCTGGACCTTATACTCCCCCTTCCTGCCAAGCTCAGGTTCCCTCTGTAGCTGCTGTCCACCAGGAGAGGATCTGCTCCTGCTGTGTGCACAGGGTGGGCCAGGGCTTGTGTAGACCCAGAGGTCATTTCCTCTCAGAATCGCTTTTGAGTGGTCTGGCTTCCTGACTGTGAATTTTGTCCCCACTTCTCCCCGTTAGAGAAGAAATGTCCCATCATCTTGCTTTCTCATCCCCTTGAGAGTTCTCTATGGTGCAGATCATTATCAAAGTTGTCCAGGATGCCTTCAGACACTACAGGCCAGGGGCGGTGCTGCAGGTAAGGAGC